GGAATTCTAAAATTAAATACTCGAAAAATAATTAATTGATAATTAATTATTATTTAAATAATGTGATTATTTAAATTTGAATTTGAATTGTGAACATAATTTAAATTTATCCTTTTGAACTTATTTGATAAGTTGTTCAATTTAGAATTCAAATCAATTTAAGTTTGACTTAAATTCGAATTTGAATTTGAATTAAAATTGAACTACAGGATAAAAGATGATTTCTCTTCCTTCCCTATCTGTTGTTGGTGCCACACACAGGGTGAAACCCTAACATTGTGGCTGGCCAGCTTATGGATAAGGGGAATGGATTTTTTGTTCTAAAATTCAAATTGGAGATAGGGATTTGATTCTGTTTTGAAGTTTGACTTCTACTCTTTAAATATGAGAATGATAGAAAATTGTGGACACAATTTTTTGAAACATTTTTTCAGCCCTAACTTGCATTGGTGGCTGAATTTCTCATAGGAAAAAAGAGAAAAAAAAATTTCTCTAAAAAAATTCCACATCGTGCATGCGTCGGTGTTCGTGGAAATTCGAGTGTTTAAGAAACCTGTTTTGTCTCACGTGTGCCCACACACACGTCTACGTGGAATCAAGGAATTGACGTGAAAGACTTTGGTATTCTAAACACAAAACTTAGAGCAAGGACTGTTCGTGGACAAAGAACTCAAGTTATCATCCGAGTCGGCTTCCAGGTATTTTTTCCGGATTGAGTTCTTGATATATAAATTAATGCAATTAATTTATTCGTGCATAAATTAATATAATCTATGGAGTATCTCAAAAGTTTTTCTGAAATTTTTGTTATACACGATCCACCTCTCCTCACGCTTCCGCAATTCGGCAACCAACACTCCATCCTTTTCTCCCACTCGAGATATGCCTCGGGATCACTTTTTCCTTGAAACGCAGGAATTTTCATCTTAATACTTCCTAAGTTGTTATCCGCTCGGGTCCTAACTTCTCTACTCTGTTCATATCTCCTATGGCTATCCACTGACATTCTATCAAACTCGTCCTCTAAATTATCCCCTTCGAATTCACCATTGTCCTTAACTCCCCTTCGGTGTGTCATGTTTTTCCTTGGAGCATTCGGTGGTGGTTGACTTTGTGGGGTTCCCTCTTCTACCCCATCTAACCTCTCATGTATGTGTTCGAGCTCTGCCCTCATCATCCGTTTCATCTCTCCCATTAATGCCTGCATTTGTAAATTCAGAGTAACGATGGGTGGAATCTCTTCACTTGTGTTTTTCTCTTGATTCTGTGACATGATGAAAAGATTAAAAGGTGTTTTTCTCTCAGAAAAATAATTCACTCAACCTCTCGTGTTTCACTCAA